TTTAACAATAAACTAAGACAAGTGAGTTAGTTAGTGTTTTAGCTTTAGTGACACTGTAATAGTATAGCCTACATTATGTTTAATAAAGCACACATAACTAACCTGACAGCAGGTTAAAAAAAAAAAAATAAAAATAAATAATATTTTTTTCAAAAAAGTTTATTTAATTAAAATATTTTTTAGTTATAAGATATTTAAAAAACTTATTTATTAATTATTTTTTTTTTACTTTTATAAATTATAACTGGTATTAGATATAAGTTTTTTATTGATAATTAAATATTAAGCATAATATTAATCATTTTATATATATATATATGTAAATTAATAATAACTTATCATGACTCATCCTAGGTAGATTTACTTGAAACCTCTCAAGTAAGAAAGCACACTTGTCTAAGGGCCAGATAGTTAATATACAGTTATTAATAATACTATTGATATAATTAATTTAGAACTTTATATTAGTTTTTAATTACTATATTATATATACTAACTTATATATTAATATTAAATTCTTAAGAATTATTTAACTACTCAGATATCCTAATACTTTTATTTAAATCTTGAAGAAAATTTCTTTTCTCTTTGTCACCACTTGTAGTATTACAGACAAGTTTTGTTTGATAGGTCCTTCATTTAAGCAAGTACTGAATTGGAATATTCCAAGCTAAGATAATTAAGTTTCAGAGTTTGTTGGTATAGTTTGGAATAAAAAATGTTTAAATAATCACCACAATCCTAAAAGTAAGGTTCTAGAGTTTGCTAGTATAGTTTGGGATTAATGATATGTTTTGATACCTAACATTATTCTAAAAACAGGATTTTGGGATTTGTTTCCTGTCCAATTTAGAGGAGTTAAGTCAGATATAATTTGTATAACTAAACTAAAGGTCTTTCTTTATAAAATCCTCATAATAGATTCTTTTCAGTTCAATAATCAACAGGAAGATTAGAAGTTACATTATTGTGCAACTTGATTATTTTTCTTATATGGTCCTTGTATAGTATTGAACTCTGGATCTTGTAATTATAATCTGAAAATACTATCACTATATTATAGATCCATAGGTTATCTTATTTATTAATTATTAAACTATTTACTTTTCGAAGAATTTAATATTTTGAATTTATTATATAAAAAGTTTTATTTTATATGTTTCATTTATAAAATTTAAACTTATTGTTTGAGTAAAAATTAAAAATCTAAAAAAATTTTTTTTCACTATTTAAAAAACTTAATAAGAATTAAAAATTAATTTTTTTTTTTAGTTTGTTAATCATAACTGGGTATTAGATGTGAACCTATTATTAAGAATTAACTTAAACTTGAACCTAGGTCCTTTGGTATGTCATTAATTATTCCATACAAACTATATATTTTTATATATATGCAAATTAATAATAATCTATTATGGCTTATCCTAGTTAAACCTGCACATTACTTTAAAAATAGAACAAAATCAACTAGGGATTGGTGATTGATAATAGTTATAAATAGTGATATTGGTATAGTTAGCACATCTGTTTACAGTTGGTTTTTTATATATTTATACTAATTTATACACTAGATTAAATCTGTAAGAATAAATTTTAATTACTCAAATACCTTGATACTTTTTACTTGAATCTCAGAAGAGATTTCTTTTTTCTTTATCATATCACAAACAAACCTTATTTAATAAGTTTTTCATTTAAGCAAAGAATTAAAAATTAATATATTATATAATATATATATTTGTTTATCTTTTAATATTAAATTGTTTTTCTTAAAAACTTGTTTAATTAAAAAAAAACTTTTTTATAAAAATAATTTTTTTATTTCTAATAATATTATTAAAATATTTTATATAATTATAATTAAATTATATTTTTAAATTAATATATTTTATATTAATTAATTATTTTTAATAATAATTGTATTATTAAAAATTTAGAATTAAATTGAAATTAATAAAATTTCTTGGAAGATTATAAAAATAAAAACTTTAAAAAGATTAAAAAAAGAAAACATATTTTTTTATTATATAATATCTTTATTTTGAAAATAAAAAAATATATATAAATATTTTACAACAAAAAAAAATTTTTTTTTAATAATATTTTTATTATATAATAAAAATATTACTTGATTTTTTTTTAATAATGAAAAATTAGATTTTTGATTAAAAAAATTGTAAACAAGAGAAAAAAAATAAAAGTAATATTTAAAAATACTTTTTAAATTATTTTAAAAAAGATATTAAAATATTTTTTTATATATGAACAAAAAATTAATAAAAAAATTTTTTTATATTAAGTATTAAAATATTTATCAAATAACCAATTACTCTTTTCAATAGATTCTTGACTACTACTTACAAAGAAGTATTTCTTCAAAACTTTATATTTTGAGAATAAAATAAACTTTAAAACTTTCTTTAAAAATATCTCTTCATTTAATAATAGTTATATTTTTTCTTTCTTGTTTACCTTTTCTTTTCAAAAACTCTCTATCTAAAAAGTTATTAACAAGAAAGCTTTTCTAAGAAAAAGAAATAAGATAAAATAAAAAAGTACATTACCTCTCTTCTTTATAAAGGTTCCAAAGTTTAAAAAGAAGTATGAATCAATAACTCCATATCAATCTGGGAAACTGGTATTAATACCATAAACAAAAAAGGCTTCTTTCTTAGTATATAGTAGTTTTTTTTAATTTTTTTGATAAATTTTGTCTGCTCTAGCTTAATTTTAAATTTTCTGTTACATCAGATTTTGGATAGATTGATTGGCTGAAAATTAGAATTGGTTGTTTCATAATTCATAGAGATATAAATAAAAATATATATAATATAAGATGTAAATATATTTTTTAAGCTCTATAAGAACCTTGGATTCATTATAAATTATTGACTAGTTATACAAATAGATAAGCATTACATAAACTATGATCTCCTTTATCTCATAACTCTTCAAAAATATTATAACTATAAAATAAATATTCCTTCAGAAACAAAGTTAAATAGAAAAACTATTAGATGTTTTTTTTTCTTTTTTACTTTCTTTTCTTGTGAATATTTTTAATCTTTTCTTTTTTATTTTTCCACCTCTTCTTTTTTAATATTAATTAGTTCTCGATTAATACAAGAGACCTTTAATATTAATTAGTATTAAACATATTGGACAAGTTCTGATAGGATAGGTCTTTATAACAAATAGTAACAAGCCAATTGATGAATAAAAATCCTAGATAATACCAAATTCAATAATATGAAGAAACTAATAATATATATTTGAGTGGATCTGATCAATCTTTTCTTTATTTTAGAAAAGATTATTTATACTAGGTGATAATATATTTTCCTTATTCTGATTAAGTTAGATTTAGATTGAGTTTTGTAAATAGATAGCTCTCTATACTATTTCCTCTTTAATAATTTGTAGATCCTCAGACAGTCGGAGAAAATATTCATATCAATTGTTCATAAATATAATCTTCTTTTAATAAAGTGGCTTAGAGCAGTGCAGAATAAGCCAATTTTAAAAAAAAATTTTTTTAAAAATATCTATTATAATATTGTTAATCAAAAAAATTTCTATTTAATTTTTTTAATTATAAAATTAAAATACTTAAAAATTTAAAAATAGATTTATTGATTTGACTTTTAATTAACTTAATTTAATTATAATTTACTTAGAATATATAGTAAATTTTGAAATTTAAATTAGTTTGAACCAAATTTATTTGTATATAATAATAAAATAAAAATAATTTTCTAAAATTCAATATATATAATTAAAATATAATATATTAAAATAAAAAAACATACTGTATCTTTAATATAACATAATAATAATATATAGTTGATAAATACTAATAAAACAATTTATTTAGCCTAATAGTGAATTTAAAAAAATAAAATGAATAAATAATTTTTAATTTTTATTGATTAATTTATTACAATATTATCGAATAAAACACAGCTGAGGGTATTTCATTTACAAATAAGAATTCTCTGTGCAAATCTTCGCTTCACCATTATATATCATAAAATTTTTTTACCATCCACCATACAATGACAAGTGTTACGCTCGACATCAAACAAACTTCAATTCCCTGCCTTGTACCAAAAACCCACCATACACTTCCAGACACCTTAGCTGCCATTTCCCCTATTATAAATTTTGTTCTTATATTTCTGTCAACTGTAAATGGCGAATTGAATGTTCTTGGTCTCTTTTCAGTTATAACTCTAAATGAATCTAATTGATCATGTGAAGTTGGTGAAATGAGGGGTACTGAAGATAAAGTTGGTATAGTGAAGAATGCAGATACAGGTTTATGATCCGATAAAGTATATGAGGGGTGTGAGATGTAATAATTTAATTTAATTGGAACTTCCCTTTTGGTATTATCATCGCCTTCTTTATGCCAGAAATAAAATATTCTATCACACCATCCTGGTATCTTCTTTACAGCATCAAACTCATGTTCGCTACCTCTGTGAAATTTATAAGTAGGCAAGAAGTTTAACTCCCCTTCTTCGAAACCATTAAGGACTTTGCCGGACTTTACTTCTCTTGTTAATTGGTCATGATTTCTTAAGCGAATATGTTGATTTTCGTGCAATAAATTTAATAATTTTTCAACAGTGAGGTGATTTGTTGAGTGAAGCGAAATATTATTTCTATTGCCTAAAGCATTTCGATGTATTTGTGGTAACTGCTCGTCAAGTTCAATTCTATAATTCAGGTCTCCAAAAAAGAATAAAAAATCGGAATCATAAATTGTAAAATATTCTCGATCTTTACAGCATGCTAGTGAATCCATTTTATTGTTTTTTTGATTATCCTTGAATTGATTTCTTGGTATTAGTGGAGTATTTGTTGATCCATCTTCGCTAAGGCTTTCATCATTAACTATTATTTCTTCTTCTTGCCGTAATATGTATTGTTGCTCACTATTTGTAAATATCAATCTCTCACAGATGTTTCTAAAATCTTGGTTGCGTCTTTGAGTATTGTGACTATGAGGCGCTAAATGTGCAACTACAAAACACAATACTAATTCATTCTCACTCATATTTTCGTCATTGATATTTCTACCATCAATTTCCCTCCAATCTGTCACAGACTCTTGATTAAGAACAATCCTGGCACCCAATCCTCCTTTGTTTCCGATCCAAAATAACCCAACTCCAGCCGTAGAAATCTCATAGCTTTGAATTAATCCCGTAATGCTTCTGTCTCTGGTATAAATGAACAAAACCAGTCCAACATAACTAGCTTTTACCAATTGAGTGTAACTTTCCTTTGTATTCAAGAATATCGTGCGTTCAATCAAGTTTGCACAATGATCCAAACGTTCAGTATCAGTAGCGAGGAGTGAATGAGGTAGGGGTATGAATTCCTGAAAACCTAATGCTATAATGTCAGGTTTATTTACCAATGTGGTGGTTGATGTATTAGCAGAAGAATCTGAAAATCCGTTGAGTGGAAATAACCACGAAGATAAATCTTGATCTATCTCCTGTGTATTGACATTATACGTGCCCACTAAAACTTTTAGGGGCATTTTTAAGACGAAAATAAATTCCCAATTTTTATTTAAAAATATATTTTTTATACATACGTGCAGATGAATACCGCAATATCAATATGTTGTGTACCCATTTTTTTTTTATAAGTTTAGAATGGTATCTCAGAGATAAAATTAAGATTTAAATCTATCAACTTTTACTAATGTCCCTCTAACCATATTTCAAAACATTATTCAACAGAGACATTATGTCCCTGTCTTAATAAAACTGTTTCACTTTTCTTAGCACTTTATAAAATACTATTATTTATATATTTTTCTTATATATAGTATATATTTTTTATTTTTCTTTATTATTATCACATTTTTATTTTTATTTTTTAAAGTAAAAGAGTAGACTTTCAAGTTTTCAATAACAGAAAGGTTTTTTAGGCAGTAAAATATTTCATAAGATTTTAAATATAATTATGAATTCTATTTCTTAAAAATATTAAGAAACTTAAATAATTTTTTGAAATATATATAAATTCCAAGTATTTTTTAAGAAATTCAACTTATTTTTAATTTTTTATTATATTCAAAAGATTCACAGCTTGAAAAAATATCTAGATACTGTGACAAAAAAGTCAAATATCAAGACTATGCAATATACTAAATGATTCTAAATGAATAAGAACTAAACAATTATTAGACTCAAACAAGTATAAATAAAAAATAAAAGCTACTTAATCTACTAACTTATAAATTACTAAATTATTTATCAAATAAAGATAATTTTACACTGACCTATGAGTCAATAGCACAGTGGTAGTGCTTCCAGGTTGCAATCACAAGGTCTGTAGTTCAATACCACTTAAGAACCAAAAATTGAAATTATCCTTCTGATCAGGTTTACCGGTTATCCTGTGAAAGTCATACCCAAACATCCGGAACCTGCTTGAAACAGGATAGGCTATATAAAAATGAGACTTCTGACCTTCCATCGATCAGGGGCTGAAATTTAAGGTCATACTACCAGAAGGATTGCACGAAGTAAGGTTTCTGATCTAGCCTCCCATATAAAGCCTTCAGCTCTCTCTGCCCTGGTAGCTTCTAGAACCCCACTCTCCTAGCTTAGTATATTCCAATCTGATGCTCTGCTTAATTGAAAATCAGTTAATAGGGACTAATCCGATACTACAGGTGGTAACAAAGAAGGTAACATGTCCTTTTCTAAGGTCTGAGTGAATAATATCTGAGAATATTGAAGGGTGTATACATCCTGTTGGGTATATCTAACAGGTCTAGCTTAGTGTACACAATTAAAAATAGTCATATGAGCCCATATTAACTAGCCTAAACATCATTGTTTATGACTGTGTATTAATCATCTGGCCACTAGCTAGGTGTGTTCACTTTCTCAGTGATAGTAGATCTAGCTAGAATTGCCGCAATAGGTTAGCATTAATCTGCATATGTAGAGATGTTTGATGTAATGACAGTGAAATTAAATTGCCAAATAAAGTCTCACATCTAATACCAGTTGTGATTTAACACTTTAAAAAAAAAAGATAATTTTACACTTCAAGAAATAAAATTGGCAAAAGATATGGAAATAATCTTTCAAAGTTGGAAATAACAAAATACTTTCAAATAAGTAAAAAAAATAGTTTAATTTAAAAAAAACTTATATTAAAGAATATAAAAAAACTATATAAAACTCTTTCTATTAATTCTCTGACCATACACAAAAAAGTTTTTCACAAGAAGTTTTATACTTTCTTGCTAGTAAAGTCTTTATACTTTCATTAAAACAACTTAAAGCTTGTCTTCACTTATCTCTATTATCTTTTCTTATTTGTTTATAAACTCCTTTGAATAAAAACTTTAGCCTTTAATAACCTGAAAAGACTCAATTGTGTACTTTCTCTATTAAAGGCAAGAAGGTTCTAAGAAGTAAAAGAACTAACAAGTGAAGTGTCACCTTATAGAACTGGAAGTGACATGAAATAGAGATTTTGTTGATAGAGAAAAGCTTATTATCCACCTTTTCATATACTATTTTTTACTCTTTTAATATGTTCATTGTTTTTCATAGTTTTCTTGAGAAATTTTGTCTATCTCAGTTTGATTCTGAATTTCTGATAGCACAATATCACCTTGCATTTGATTGATTGATATGAAACATGTTAGTAACTGAATATAAACAAGCTTCTACTAATCACTTCATGTGTTCCATTGATATCATTGATAATTGAAAGAGTTGATTGGTATTCTATATTTGCTCCACTCCTCCAATTGGATTAATTTACAGATCAAGTTCTATGAGATCAATAAGATATGAGTAACAAGTCTTTAGATAATAAAAAGATTGTTATTTGTTCAAGCTAAAGTCTTTCTTTTCAATTATTTTAATCAAGCAAAGTTCAAAATTAAGATTTCTTTTTTATTCTAGTCAAGCAATAAGATCAAATGGTTTCTAGTCCATACTAAGTTTCAATCCTTTAATTATAGTTGAGAATGTATTTTTCTAAAAGTTATTAAAGAATATCATAATCGATAAGGATCCCTATTACTTTCAAGACCCTTTTACTATTACAAAGCAAAAAGATTATTGAAAAATTTGATCTTTTGGATAATGGAAGATACTGTATATACTAGTAAAATTTCTTTAATTAGACATATCTATTGGAAGGTATTATATTGAAACAATATAATCCAGTTCCTATTAAATCACATAAAAACCTGGAATTCATTATAAGTTACTTACCTATTGTAGGTGGATAAAAAATCACTGTTTAAAAAAGATTAGAATCAAATATGTACTAGAAATAAAGGCTCTTACTAGGTAATAAGTCTCCTCAAACAATTCATTAAAAATAAATTAAAATCAAGAATAGATAAATTTTTCAGATAGTTAAGAAAAAAAAGGATATTTCAATTGGATATTTCTTATTAAGAAAAGGTCTTAAAAAAAATATCTTTAAAGAAAACTGAAAATTTTTTTTTCAATTTTTACCTTTTTATTTTCATGTTATCTATTTAGATATTTTTAGATATTTCCCTTCACTTTTTTTTCAATCCATCCTTTTGTAGTTTCCTGTATTCCAGCAACTTAGTTAGGTATACAGTAATAACAACTTGCTGACAATGATGCAATGAACTAGAAAGGTTTTTTTCAAAAACATTGTGGAATGAAATATTGTTCTCAAGATTAAACTTAAAGGCTCTTATGCTTATGATGAGTTAGTTAGATTAGAATAATAGTTTAACTATAGTATATAGCATGCTATTTGAATAAAAATGTACTTATGTTTTAAATTGATTAATAAACTAATAATCTAGTTTGGCTATAAGTACTCAAAAAAAAAAAAAAGAATACAAAAAACTATATTATCACTTAAAAACAATAAACTGTTATATATAGATCAAATATTTAATTATAAAGTTAAGAAAATAAAAAACCAATAAATATCAATCAATTAAAACTCTTTTAACTAATCTTTTAACTACACACAAAAAAGATGTTTGCAAGAAGTTTTTTGCTTTTTTGCTAAAAAAGTCTTTAATACTTTCCTTAAAACATCTTGAAGAGTGAGTTCAAGAGTCATCTCTATTTCTCTTACTTGTTTACAATTCTCTTTGACCAAAAACTTGACTTTTGATAACTAAGAACAAGTCAAGTAACATCTTTGGTACCAATGGCAAGAAAGTTCTCAAAGGAAAAAGAATCAATAGTAAAGTACATAAAGACCTTCTTTATCTTTTAAGCAAGAGATATATAGAGGTTTTGGATAACAAAAGGGCTTATTTTTTCCTTCTGATTACTGTTGGACCTCTTAGAGCTATCACTTTCATAGTTTTCTAGAGAATTTTACCTATCTTAATTTGATCCTGAATTTTGAATAGTACAAATCCTCACCAAAGATAATCAACTAACACAAAACACATTGATTTCAGAAAAAGTAAACAAGTACCTATTGATCACACTCATATATTCCTATTATATCATGGGTAATATAGAAATAAAAGTTTTAGAAGAAGTTTCCCTTCAACTGAGTATATTCAATCCCAGGAAACAGTTATGATACCAAAAGGTGGGAAAATTCATACAAAAAAATTCCATCTCTTTTCTAAGTTCCTCAAGTGGTGAAAAGGCTTTCTAAGGTGGAAACTGAGGTCTTTTAGTTTCTCTTGGACTATTCTAATTTGGTATATGCTTAAATAAAGACTTATTTAATTCTGTAGGTGGTGACAAAAAAGACTCTTTTCAAGGTCCAAATGAAGCAAAGAAAAATATTCCAATTAGGCAAGGCCCCTTTTGAGAAAAGACTGTGAAATGGAAAAGAATCTTTTGGAGGGCTTTAAATTGTTTTTCTTTTTTTTCCTTTTTCAGTTAAACTTTAACAATTCATTATTTTTCAAAATAATCAACAATAGCAACCTGTTGGCAATAATCCTGGTTGACTTAGAGGTACTATGTCAAGCTACTAGAAGAGCATAATATTGTCCCCTAAATCTGATTTAGAGTATTTAGTTGAGACTTAGTTTTGTTTAGTTTGAACTAGTTTAGTGAACTTCTTATATTTTTTAAGTAGTATAGTCCTTCAACTAATAATATATAAAGACAAGTTAGTTATTATATAAGAAGGTCTGTAAATTATTTTGGTATTTTTTCAAGTATCTTAATAAAGACAAACTATTTCGACATGATTGCTAATTAAAAAAAAATAATAATAATAATAAACAAAAAACTAATAAATACTTTAACTTTTATAGAATTTAGATAAAGATTTTATTTTTAGATTATAATAAAAAATATTTTAAGAAAATAATTATAGTAGTTTATAAAAACTTGAAAAAAAATTACATAAAAAGAAACTGGAATATTTTACAATAAAGTTTAATTAAAATAAATAATAAAAATTATGAATAGTAATGAGAAATAAAAAAAATTAAATAACTTGAAAAAAATTAAAACAAAAAAAAATAAAAAATAAAATATTAATAGAATATATATATATATATATTTTTTTTTACTCTCTGTCAGGCTAATT